ACTTCATATAGTCTAGATCTAAAGCTGCCAAAATCCAAGTTCATTGGCAATAAGAGAACCTTTGATTTTTATGAAGAAAATATCCATGCTACTCATATTAACAAATTACCATTTTAATCTGGTGTCATTACCTCATTTATTAATTGATTAATGCTGATCTTGTCTCATAAATTTTGATTTTCTAAATATTACTACCTCCCCCAATTTGAGATGTATCTGCCATTCTCAAGGTTTTAGAAGCACTTGCTGGAAAAACTACTGAAAAGTTTACAATAGTACTGTGAAAATTTAGTCATCCCAAGGAAGTACATACTAAAATTATTTTAAGAAGCGAAGATAATTTTATAACTTTCCCAATTAATTCGTGGAATTCAATGTGAGCCTGATTTTTGCTTTGCGTAGAGAAGGATCATTAGAAGTTCGATTTCCAAGGGACCAGCAAGTGCCCGCCACTTTAATGTACCTTTCCCATATGACAGTGATTATTCTTAGAAGAAAAAGAGTCACCCTTCTTTCTAAACAAGTTACTTAAATTAGCCTAATTCCAATGGACATTGAGGCTATAGATGGGGAAAAAAATCCAAGAGGATTATTTATTCCAAACCAGGTTTGCTGCCTTTTCAGGGCCGCCCCATTGATACGTTTCCTTCGTAGACTTAGAAGAATTGACCCCTCCTGTTTGGCACCCCCTAAGAAATAAAATTTCAGAGAAGTTACCCCTTTCCAAAGTTGGTGGCGGGGAGGCAAATGCGAGATGTATGAGAACCGACGCGCTTTGCCCTCTGAAATGCCTCCTGTTTACTTTTGCACAAGAAACAAATAGAAGCAAAACTGAGATTCAGAAGGAACTCTCTCTGCTGCGTGCCCTGGCCGAGCATTTCAAAGACCCTTTAGAAAAAGAAGCCGGGCTGGAGGCTCACCTTCCATCTCGCCGCCGGCTGGGCTGGAGCAGCAGCTCTCGCCACCCTGCTACTCCACGTGCTCCTGCCTTCGCCAGGACCCAGCGCGCAGCTGGCGGGAGATTCCCGGCGCGGGGAGTCCCCGGGATCCGCTGCGGCGTCGGCGCAGATCTGAAAGGGCAGGAGCCAGCGACCCGCCGGTGCACGGGGTTACAGCGGCGCTGGCTGGTGGTGACTTTAAAAGACGCTCGCCGAGGAGCGCAAGAGGTTCCGCTCCTCCATCCCCTTTTTGAATGTCAAACCGGAGAACCCTCATAGGATGGAAACAGCGCATCACTAAATTGTCTCAAAACGTCTATTTTAGATGGATAGGGATGGCAGGGTACTATCACATTGGGCGAGGGGTGAGGGGGTCAGGATGGCTTTCTTGCGAGTGTAAGTTCAAAGGGGCTTGTCTTAAATTGGGCAAGATCTAGAACTTTTGGTCTAGATTCAGGGATAACAGCCATAAATATCAAGGAGAACGTTTATCAATCATATGACTTGATCAAAGTTCTTGGTCCAAATTTGCAGGAAGTGCTATGACAGTTCAAAAGGATTTTGGCACTTTTATCAACTTTTTCATTTTTGGAAGCAACTCTCTCACTTTAGTTTTCCCTTCTAGGAACTGCTGCTTACTGTAGTTTACTAGCCACCACTCACAAAATACTACACATGCTGTCTGTGAATGTTCCACTACCCTGTCTTCTGCCAAATAGGACCTGAGACAGCTTACAAAAACACATACATAATGTATCAGAAAAGTAAGTTTGAAAACGTAGAGTTAAGGGTGACGTTTGGGGGGTAGGGTGGTAAGACTGTAAAATTAACTCAGAGATGTTGGTACACAGAGATGTATCGGTAAACATCTTTTTCCAATACCCTTCCCAATTTGTAAAAGCAAAGCACACATTTGAGTTTAGGGGAGGAAAGGGAAGTAACCAGTTTTTCAAAAGCAGCGCTGTGTTCTTCATACTGAAGGCTAAGGGACATTGTTCAGGTGAGTCCTTCTAAAAATACCCTGTGTGTTGAATTGAACATGTAAATGATTCTCAAAAAAGCCACTTCCACTTTTAGTATAAATTTATATTGGTGTATATAGATACATGAGACTTAAGGTTGGAGGTTTGTGCATCAGCAGACCATATCAGAAGAAACCCACCACTACAAGTTAAAGTATGCTTGCAATTAAAAAAAATATATTTTATTTATTTTAGAGGAGAAAGGAGAGAGGAAGAGGGGGAGAGAAACATCAATGTGTGGTTGCCTCTCTGGCACCACCAACTGGGGACCTGGTCTGCAACCCAGGCATGTACCTGACTGGGAATCGAACCAGCCACCCCTTGGTTCACAGGCAGGCACTCAATCCACTGAGCCACACGAGTCAGGGCAGTATGCTTGCAATTTAATGAACTTCAGTTTATTTTAAATATGCCTTGCTATAGGAGGTCAACATATATATACATATGCATATGTGTGCACATATCTGTGTATGTGTAGGTGGGTTTTTTTTTTAAGTGAATGAATGCCGCAGATTGACTTTAAGATCTCAGTACCTTGGCAGTATCTCTATAGCTTGCATGGGTTGGATTTCTACAGGATAATGTCTATTTCAGAGACATACTCTAAACACCAGGTCTAATTTTAGTATTGAAAGGGGAAATTTGTTGTTTGTTAGTTTCTAAAAACAAAAATAGCTCATCAAAAGCAGCAGAAGAGGAACTGTAAAATTGCACAGGGATGGTGTCAGGATGAATAGTTACTTGGTTATTAAAAAGTCATAAAAAACGCTTTTATCTTCCATGGCAATGTTTTTTATACTCAACATTGGAATGTTACTACTCTCTAAAAAGTTCAGAATCCAGTGTGTCAGACTCCAGAGAGTGATACCTAAGAGGACTGATAAAAAGTAAATGGGTAAAATAACTTCTGTAGCCACTCCAAACACCTTATGAGTGGGCTCCACAGATCGAGTGACTTCCTTCCAAAAAGTGCAGTGGACAGAGGTGATTTCATAGCAGAGAAACCCAACAAACGCTACCTCGGCAGGGCTGTTGAGGCAACATCAACAGTAATAAGGCACGGTAACAGAATGTGCATCTGATATGAGGTGATGGCAATGGCATTCTACCTCTGTAGAATCGTCCACACCAAAACCCACGACCCCAGGAGAAACCCCAGATTCCAAGGAAGAGGCATTCTGCACTTTTCCAAGGAAAACTTCAGTTCAGGTCAGTGTCATCAAAACTCATTAACTGTCAAGGTCACAGAAAACAAAAAACGTCTGAAAAACTGCAGAGCCGACAGGAACCTATGGACATGTGGTCACTAAACGTAATGTGGGTTCCCAGATGGGATCCTGGAGCAGGAAAAAGACGCTGGCTAAAAATGAAGGAAATCTGAGTCAAGGGTGGACTTGTAAAAAATAGTAATGTGTCAGTATTAGTTGGCTAACTGTGGGAAATGTACCCGACCAGGTGGGATACTGACAGCAGGAAAAACCTGGTGGGAGCACAGGTACGAGAACCTTCTGTACTGTCTCTGCATTTCTCTAAATGAAACACTCCTAAAACGAAAACCATACTTTAGAAGTGGATGGGGCACTTTCAACAAGCAGCCCCTCTTCACTGGGCTGAGTCCCTTCTGATAGTCTTCAAATCGATCCCTGCAAGATGGGCGGGGATCGACGACTCACAACGGGGAAGCTAACAGGGCACCCCACTTCTGACAACACCCTTTGACTAAAACTGGAAGGAGAAACTTCTAGAAAATCACACACAACGCCCGAACGTGTCTTCCTGATCCGCCCTTCAAGGAGTCGTGGAGGCCGCGCAGGAGCCCAGACGTGGTAACTGCCATGGGTGGATCTGACTCACTGCGTCGCCTTTCACGGCTTCTGCTCTGTGGGTAAAATTAACAGTGACTAAAAATGAAATCACTGACGGAGGTGGCTCCCGGACCATCTGAGAGAGTCCAAGTACTGACTCGGCTGGAAGGAAATAAAACCGAAAAAAGAAAAAAAACCTTCTTGATCTCACCCCAAATGATCATTCTGCACCCTGTCTGAACTTGGGCTCCCTACCCGCCGGCCTACTCAAAACCACGGCGGAGGGTGCCCCTCTGCTGCTAAGTGACAGAAGACACGCAGGCGCAGTCGGGCCGCTGCGCCAACAACCCGGAAGGAGCGGCGGCACGGCTCGGGCGTGGCCTCCCTCGGAGCTCCCAGACCTTGACCTTCCCCCCCACCCACACAGGACAGGCAGATGTAGTGTATCGCCTTTCCACAGGGCGAGGTCACTACTCGACCCGGTACGCACCTGCACGCGGGGCCTCGCCTGTCTCTGGAGGAACCGAAAAGGAAGGTTACTTGTTCTGCCGGACCGGGAAGGCCTGGAGACGACGCCTGGTCGGCTTGCACAGCAGTGGGATTCTTCGGGTTCTTTTTGTGGGTAGAAGAAAAGACCGTTCAGTAAAAAACAAAACAAAAAAACAAACAAAAAAAACACAACTGGGTGTAAGAGTTTGAAAAACGCTGTGCACACGCTTTCAGACTGGGTTCACGAGTAAAAAGAGCCCACGCGGGGCTCTGGGCTTTGGGTGAGGAAGAAGTTCTCATGCGCTTTCTTCCTGCCCGGGTCCTAATATAATCGCACCCCCAGCCCACCCCCCCGGGAGTTCAAAAAGTTATGTAAAGTCTTCTCGTCGACCTCCTCAGCCCCTAGACTAAGAACGTGACCGCAGCGCCAAGCCTCGGGTGCTTTTCCTCTCCTCTCCTTGCTTCTCTTCTAGCAGGGACCGTTCAGAGATCCGAGAGCGCAGGAAAATGGCGCCAGACGGGAGCCTCGAATCACCCACACGACGGCGACCGCGTGCGCACGAGGGGGCGGGGCGCCGTTCTCCCGCGCTCCCGCCCCCTGCCCCTTAGCCCCGCCCCGGGGCGTGACCTCCGGCGGTTTGCTCCGCTCAGTGGAGCAAACTGGGGGAGGCGTTTGGGTGGGGCTGAGATAGGAAGAAAGAACCCTGCCCCTCGACGGTTCCTGCTCCACTAGCCCGTGAGCCGCGATGCGAGCGTGGGTCTTAGTTGCCGCAGTGTTCTGGTACCTCCCCCGAAGTGGGTATCCTCCTGCCCGGCCTCCAGGCCTCTCCCTTCTTGCCGGTCCTAAATCCTTCCCTTCGCCCCGCCCCGCCCTACTCTGAGTCCCAGGCTCCTCTTCTGCCTACAATGTCAGTGGTTTCTTTCCTCCGCAGCTGGATGGCAGCGTTTTTCCGAAGTCACTAAAAAAGGCTTCATTTATGGCAAGCCAGCGTACACAGGTACTAAGGACCTCTGCACCCGCACAATCTATCAGAAGAGCCGGGGTGCGGTGGTCCTGCTAAGGTTCTTCCGGTGGAGAGAAAGCCGGCGAAAGCTTACTGACCGTCTACCTCGTGCTCAGCACTTCCTGAAGGTTGCCTCGTTTCATCCTTATAGTCACCTCTCTGCACCTTAGTTGTGATATCACAGCTTGTAGGAAGCTAGGATTCAATCCAGATCTCTTTCTCTGATGTCACCTCACTTCCAGGGGCCTCTGCTGCTGTGCAACGTGCCAGGCCCACCCAGAGAAGTAATTTCCAGGACTGGAAGTTTCTCTGTTTGGAACGCCCCTTCCTCCCCCCTCATTAACTAAAAGAACTCCTACACATCTTTTAAGGTTCAGCTCAAATGCCCTTTATCACTGTAATGAAACTTGCCCACCCTACCCAAGGAAAATTAGTCACATTGCTAACTTTACATAACTTTGGGCTGGTTCATAGTATTTGTCAGGTTTGGAATCCCTCAATTTTTGGAGCCCTGCCCTTCCCCGCCACCACCAAATTTTAGGACAGTATCTTCTTTATATGTTCAGAACATAGCATTCAATAGGCTTTAAAATTAGTATCTTGGGCTGCACTGGTTCCAAGCAGATTATTGTTGCTTCCATCAAATCTGAAACAGAATAAGGTAATTGCAGAAAAACGCCCTAGTATGCTCTACATAGGCTTAATTATTGTTCCCCACCGAGGACATTTATAGTTAAATATCAAGTTTCACTTAAGGGTGACAATGATCATCTTTAAAATAGTTTTCAACCAAGTCCTTTTCTGATCTTTAAATTGATTTTGCTATCCCTTCAAAAAGTTATGATTGCAGTGGGTTCTGAATTTGTACATTGTATTGTGTACATTTTTATTAACAAAACTATAATATCCTAGAAAAATGAAAAAATTTATTAGAAGCCTAGAATTTTAAAAACTAGGAGAAGCAAAAAGGACTTGCATTCTAAATGTCATAATGAGTGATATTTGCTGTTTTTTAAAATAGCGAACTCCAAAAATAATTTGTCTTTTGGGACAAATGGTAGTAAGTGCATTTATTAATGTTTCTATATAATGTAGCTATATATTATTTTATTTTGTCACAGTGAAGGTATATGTAGAATTACATCACAATAGCCCATTCCTTGTCTGTATGGATATAAAACATGCTAAAAAAGAAACAGTGGACCCCACCTACTCATGGATTGGGCCTAATGAAAAACCATTAAAAGGTAAATCACCTGATTTTAATGCCTTCTTCTTTAAATGAAGTGAACATTTTTTTTATCCTCACCTGAGGACAGGTTTTCCATGGCTTTTTAAAAGAGAGAGGAAGGACCAGAGGAAGGGAGAAAAAAAAATCCACGTGAAGGGAGAAAAAAAATAACCGATTGATTCCTCATCCATTGGTTGAGGAATCAAATCCACAGGCTAGATATTCTCAGCCTAGATACTGGGAATTGGACCTGCAACCTTTCAGTTACCAGATGATGCCCCCACCAGCAGAACCACACTGGCCAGGGCTGATGTGAACCTTTTTTTTAGAAAAGCACTGTCATTTATTGGAAAGCGCAAATTAAAATTTGATTTTAATCGCAGTTTCGCTTGCTCCATGCTTAGGCAAATCATGTTATATCTTGGTCTGTGCCTTATTTTGTTCCTTATGTAAAAACTGAAGCAGTAATTTTTGCACCCTTCCTCTCAAAGCTGTATTAGTTCAAAACAATTTTGTAAGGTCCTAGCTGGACAGCTCCTTTGGGTAGGGCATCATCCTGGTGCATCAAAGCTGCAGATTCAATCCTCAGTCAGGGTGCATTCAAGAACCAACCAATGAATGCGTAAATAAGTGGAACAACAAATGGATCTCTCTCTCTCTCCCCCTCCCCCCTCCTCCTTCCCCTCCTCTCTCTAAAATCAATCAATATATATTTTTAAATGTTATAAAACCTAAAACTTATCCTTATAGCACCTGTAATAAGAGATGAAGTATATAATATGTAATTGTTAATGATATTAGAAATTGGATTATAAACATAAATTTCTGTTTTATATGAAGAAATTTTATAGTATTACAGGGCAGTATAATTTTATTTACTGAGTTACTGGCATAAACTAATTGAAATTAGATGCAAAGAAATGAATAAAAGAAAACCAGAATCTGTTTTGAAAGTGTACTGTTCTCATGTGGTTCTCCATAGAGTAATATGACAGAATTACAATTTTGTGAAATTCTTATTGTTAAAATAGTCCATTAATTTATTAAATTTTTATATTTATTTGTAACCCCAAGTTTACCAAATAAATGTTTGAATTGTTATATTTTAAATAACCAAGTAATGTACTATTTCTGTTTAGGAAATAATCAAATAAATATAACTCAAACAGGAAAGCTGATGGTGAAAGATTTTCCAGAGTCTTTGTCTGGACTCTACACGTGTACTTTTTCTTATAAGATCATCAAAGCACAAACCCAAGTAGAAAAGACGGTAAAGCAGAGATACGAGTTCATGATGTTTGGTAAGAATATAGGCACGTTTTGATTTACTTGGTTTAGATCAGAATTAAGTGTATGGTTTCTCTCGTGAAAATGAGTCTGTTATATATAATCATTATGACTTACCAAGTATTTTGGGTGTATTTGGCCAGGCAAACTCTTAAATTAATGCCAAGATGGGGTATTTGAAATAATCCCCTTTCAGCCTCCCACTTCCCACTGTTTAGGTTTGCATTCTGCTTTATCACAGTTTTGCCAGGTATCTTCAAAACAGATATTTAATCCTATAAAAGCAAATTAATGATCCTTTTTACTGGACTGTTCTGACAACAATGATACTCTGCCAATTAAGACCCTACCCCCTCCAGAAAATCTTACTTTTCCTTGATACTGTTAACTTATCTTTATACCCAGCCCACAGAAGCCATGTCCTTACTTGAACTGAGTAGATAATATATATCAGATGAAAATGACCTTTTTTCATTAAAGTTATTCATTTTGTATATTTTTGTGAGACCACCCTGCTAAAACATTTTATTGGATAAGTTAAGTTTCTGTGCTGATTTGAAAATTGTTGAAAAAAATTAATACTAGGCACAATTTTATTCTCATGTTTTTTAAAGCCTATCGGGAACCTGATTATTCATATCAGATGGCTGTACGTTATACCACAAAATCTTGTGTAGGAAGTTATAACGACCTGTTTTTTAGAGAGCTGAAGAAGGTCCTGGATAACTTAATCTTTGATTTGTCCTGCCATGTCATCGAATCATCATATAAATGCCATTTTGTGAAAGTTCCAGAACACGGCCTCATATATGAGCTATTTATCGCTTTTCAAGGTAAGAAACTTTTTTTTAACTTTGATTTTATGAATTTAATCTTGAACCATGACAGATTACAAACCTAATTACCAGGTTAATGTGAGCTATCTTACAAATAGTGGGACTTAAATGTTTGCTAAGCACTGAAGTATATTTTGGTCTAAGCCTGGTTATAGATTTAAAGACGAGGACATCACCCTGACCTGTGTGGTTGGGCTTGGTCCCTCAAGACTACAGAACACCAGTTTGGTTCTCACTCAGAGCAACTATCTGGGTTTTGGTTCTGCCCCATTCAGGGCGTGTAGGAGAGGCAACTGACTGATGTTTCTTTCTCACATCAATGTTTCTCTCCCTCCCTTCCCATATCTCTAAAAACAAATACAAAAAATCTTTTAAGAAAATGAATACATTATTTACCTTCAACTGTGACATACTGTTGCTTATTTCCTAGATGTCAGTGTTATTTTATAAATATGGCCTTTAACTAGGCAGCTAATATTTAACATAGTTTTTCAAATAGAATTTTAAATTGTATTTTGGAGAACTTAATAAAAGAGAGGAACCAAACCAAACTCCTTTCTATTTATTTTCTTTATATTTTAAAGCCTTGTAGTTACTTCCGTTAGCCCCCAGATGGAGTAAAATTATAATGTATAAATTATTTAAATCGTGCAACTTTATTACTGGGGTTAGATAGGTTAACACATGCACCCATTCATACTGAATTCAGCATTTAGAGCTTTGTTGGAATGTTTGGAACTTTTCAGAACCCTTTTGTGAGGATCTCGTTTTTTCCTCTCCAGTTAACCCTTTTGCATCACAGTGGAAAAGTGCATGCCATGGCACTGCTGATTGCGAAGAAGTGACTAATCCTAATATCCTCCAGGTGAGAATTTCATTGTCAGGGAAAATATTCGAATAGTCAATGAAGCTATTCAATTTTTTTAATTATTTCATTTTCTTTGTTATTTTATTATTTAAAACTTTTGGTAACTGCTTCAAAAAGATTTCTCCATGCTGTGAATATGTATCAGTAATAAAGAGTTGCTGTTATTTTAAAAACCTAAATATAAAGCATTACTGATTTTTGGTTCTGGTTATTTAAGAACCAAATAACCAGAAAGTCTTAGTCTTGAAACTAAGACTGTGGGAATCTTGGCCGTTTCAAGATGCTTTGTTTTGGAATAATACATGTGGAATATTACATAGCTTCCCAGGTTAATGTTATAGATGTCATATATATATATATATATATATATATATATATATATATATATATGATAATGTCATAGAAACCTATGACAGAGGGTAGGATCCCTGGGTTTCATTCCCCAAATGTTAACTAAGCAACAGCTTGAAGAACAGCTCACAGTCAGGTCATCCTAAGTTGAACCAGTGGTTCTTTCACAACTGTATCTATGATAATCATAGTAGTTGGTATCTCCTCCGCTGTCCTCAGAAGCTAAGGACATAGCCTTAAAAAGCCCCTTCAGCCCTGGCTAGTGTGACTCAGTGGATTGAGTGCTGGCCTTCGAATCAAATGATCGCCTGTTCGATACTGTCTAGGGCACATTCCTGCATTGTAGGCCAGGTCCCCAGTAGAGGGCGTATGAGAGGCAACCACATATTGATGTTTCTCTCCCTCTCTTTCTCCCTCCCTTACCCTCTCTAAAAGATAAATAAAATCTTTTTTAAAAAATCCCTTCCCTCTCCTGGTCTAGTCCCTGAGCCCATACCCTTTATGTTGTGCCTGGCAATGGGAAGCACTGAGTTTATATTAGCCATTATTGAACTCTGCGTTTGAAAAACTGAAATAAAATCTATATCATTAGTTTGTAATGCTGATTAAAAAGAAGTTTTAGTTTCCATTTTCTTGGCTCTTTGGAATTAGAAATAATAAATATCTATATATGGTATAGCTGTGCTGCAAATCATTCAAAACAAGTGTTTATTAACCTTACTTTAATTTTTCTTAACCATTGTACATATGAATTGACAATCATTGTCAAGGCTAGACTAATTTTAGTATTAATACACAACTTTTCAGGAACTCATCTGTTGTGTAAAACCTGGATGGAGTGGGTGTGTTTATAGTTCATTTCAGAGGCATGAACTATGAAATGTCTCATTCAGAGACATCTCATTGCCTCTGATGCTGGAGGAGAAATTGGTTCACAGTTCAGTCACTGTCCTTCTCACTGGTGTTTTATAATCCAGGCAAGAGACCGAATAGCAGAATTTTTCCGGAGGCAAGCATATCTTTTCTACCATGATCCTAATAAAATTCTCCCACTTATACATTTTGTGGACCACAGTTTTGAAATGGCACGTATAGACACCTGTCGTCCAGGCTTTGGGAAAAGCGAAGGTCTACATAGTAACTGTGCTACGTGTTGCGGTAATTATGAAATATAAATACCCACAGATGATGCGTTGTAGCTTTGTGCACCTGAAATCTGCATAATGTCATTAACCAATGTCACCCCAGGAAATCCAATAAAAATTTAAAAATATACATACAGATATACAAGTATTAGGGTACATAGTCAGAAGAATACCAGTAGATGAATAGTTCTCTTAGGATAATTGAACTGGATCTGTTTAGCAAGCCTCTTTAAAAATGTTATATTCAGCTAAAGGGGAGTAAAAACTCAGAGAACACATTTCCGAATGTAATCATCTTCATGTGTATTACCTCTTCCGAATGTACTCTTTTATATTACGAAACATTTCTGCAGTCTTCTGACTTAAGCTGCCGTACTGTGAAGGAGAACAGAATGGCACTGCTTCGAAAACAGACTTGGAAACAGAACTAGAAAAGCAGAAGCAGAAACTCATCAACCAGGCACTGCAGAAGCTCCTATAAAATCCTGATCTTAATGAAAAAAAAACCAAAACAAAATGAGATTCTCTCTCCTGCCTTTAACATCATTAATCACAATGTCCAAAACTCAAAGATAATGTCCACAACTTAACTGACTGAACACCCCTCAGGAAGTATATCATAGGTATAGAAAAGGTGTGAGATTGAAGGCAGATTTATATTATTGGTATGAAATCCCTCTAACTGAAACTATAATCATTTCCTCAATGGGTTTCCCTCTGCAGTGGTGTGTAGTCCTGGGACTTTCAGTCCTGATGCTAATGTCACGTGTCAGACCTGCGCTTCCGCCTATGCCTATGGAGCTAAATTGTGTCCGCAAACATAAAGTGCAGCATGAAGACCGGAGGTAACAATGTTGTTACTTGCTCGTGGCAGTGGGGGACGTGGGACATGTGCACACATCCCAGAGCACCATAGTTCCGTTAAGTGAGACCCATCAGACCCAAACACTGGAAAACACACATTCTAGAAGCTTTGAAAAGATGGTTGCTGTGGCATTTCTTAGAGGGCATTGAATATCACCCGTGTACAATGGGAACTGTATTAGTGGATGGTTTTTAATGAGATATTTGTTGTTTACAAATGGAACCTGTTGCTCTGTACCTAAGGCTATATTAAGATCCAAAAGAGCAGCAAAGTCTAATACAATAAAAACTTTATACTTTCCATATATTAATTTGTTTTAAATCACTCTTATATGATATAAAGTCATATATATTACCTTTGTGTTTAGAGGCAAAAAGAAGTTCTTCCTTTTGGTCTCTTTGCTTTTAATTTGTTTTTTATATAATTAATAGCCTTTATTTTCCAGTGCAGTTTTATATTCACAAAATAATTGAACATACATTACATAGAGTTCCACACCCCCTCTCTATCCCCCACACCCTCACCCCTCCCATTTCCTGTTACTAACATCTTGCATTAGTGTGATACTTTACAATTAGGAAAACAATGCTGATAGTTTACATCAAGGTTTGTACAGTTCTGTGGGTTTTGACAAATGCATAATGACATGTATCCACTATTATAGTTTTGTACAGAATAGTGTCACCACCCTCAAAATCCCCTGTGCTTCACATGTTCATCTAACCCCCACACCCTAGAAACCTCCACAACCACTGATCCTTTCACTGTCTCTATAACCTTGACCTTCCCAAACTGTCATTTCCTTGGAGTTTACAGTATGTAAATTTTTCAAACTGGCTTCTTTCACTTAGCAATATGTATTTAAGGTTCCTCCATGTCTTTTTGTAACTTGATAATCTTTTTATTGCTGAATATTATTCTACTGTATGGATCTATGAAGACCACCTTGGTTATTTCCAGTCTTTGGTGATTATGAATAAAGCTACTATAAACATTTGTGTGGAGATTTTTGTGTGGACATATGTTTTCTTTTTTTAATATATTTTATTGATTATGCCATTACAGTTGTCCCATTCCCCCCTTCATTCCCCTCCACCCTGCACACCCCCTCCCACCTACATTTCCCCCCTTTAGTTCATATCCATGTGTCATAAGTTCTTTAGCTTCTACATTTCCCATACTATTCTTGCCCTCCCCCTGTCTATTTTCTACCTACCATCTATGCTACTTATTCTCTGTACCTTTTCCCCCACTCTCCTCCTCCCACTCCCCTGTTGCTAACCCTCCATGTAATCTCCATTTCTGTGGTTCTGTTCCTGTTCTAGTTGTCTGCTTAGTTTGCTTTTGATTTAGGTGTGGTTGTTAATAACTGTGAGTTTGCTGGTTTTTTACTATTCATATTTTTATCTTCTTTTTCTTAGATAAGTCCCTTTAACATTTCATATAATAAGGGCTCTGTGATGATGAATTCCTTTAACTTGACCTTGTCTGAGAAGCACTTTATCTGCCCTTCCATTCTAAATGAAAGCTTTGCTGGATAGAGCAATCTTGGATGTAGGTCCTTGCCTTTCATGACTTGGAATACTTCTTTCCAGCCCCTTCTTTCCTGTAAGGTCTCTTTTGAGAAATTAGCTGACAGTCTGATGGGAACTCCTTTGTAGGAGACTGTCCCCTTATCTCTTGCTGCTTCTAGAATTTTTTCCTTCATTTTAATCTTGGGTAATGTAATTATGATGTGCCTTGGTGTGTTCCTCCTTGGGTCCAATTTCTTTGAGACTCTCTGAGCTTTCTGGACTTCCTAGAAGTCTATTTCCTTTGCCAGATTGGGGAAGTTCTCCTTTATTATTTGGTCAAATAAGTTTTCCACTTGTTGCTCTTCCTCTTCCCCTTCTGGTACCCCTATAATTCAGATGTTGGAACATTTAAAGATGTCCTGGAGGTTCCTAAGCCTCTCCTCATTTTTTTCTTTTTGAATTCTTGTTTCTTCATTCTTTTCTGTTTGGTTGTTTCTTTCTTCCTTCTGGTCCGCTCCATTGATTTGAGTCCCAGTTTTCTTCCCATCACTATTGGTTCCCCGTGCATTTTGCTTCATTTCACTTAGTTTAGCCTTCATTTTTTCATCTAATTTGTGACCAAAATCAACTAATTCTGTAAGCACCCTGATCACCAGTGCTTTGAACTGTGCATCTGATAGGTTGGCCATCTCTTGATCTCTTAGATGTATTGGCTCTGGGGCTTTGATCTATTCTTCTGTTTGAGTCAATTTCTTTTTTTGGTCTGGTCGTGCCTGTTACGTATGAGGGGCGGAGGCTTAGGTGTTCACCAGGGCTGGTCAACTCAGTTGCTGGGTTGTGACGCTGTATGTGGGGGCGGGGTCAGAGAGGGAACAGTGGCACTTGTTCCACTCTCTCTCGGATTTCGGTCCCTTCTGCCACTTCCCACAAGCAAACTGGGCCCGTTCTGGTGCTGATTCCCGGGTGGGTGGGCTTGTGTTTGTTCTAGGACCCTGTGGGTCTCTCTAATGAACTCTCCTGTGAGGCTGGGAGTCTCTCCCCACACCTCAACCCTCACAAGTGTTTTCAGTCGGTGCTTTTAGGCTTTATTTCCTGGCACTGGAATCCTGGGTTGTGTGGTCTGTCTCACTGCCCGTTTTTGTCTGGTTTATCTGAATACGAATGTGTGTCCGAGGTCAGCCAGCTGCCTTTCACGCCTCACTGGGTCTGCTTGTTGCCACCCCGTGCCCAGGGTCTGCTGGACACCTGCATGCCCAGGTTGCCAGCCAAAACTTTTTTCTGCCACGATCCCTCTCTGCCAGCCGCCAACTCTGCCCCTCTTACCTGTCTGGATGAATGGTTGTTGGACTTCCGTACAGTTCTGTCGTTCTGGGTGCTTTTTTGTTTCTAAATTTTTGTTGTCCTTAATTTTGGTTGTGCGAGGAGGTGCAGTGTGTCTACCTACACCTCCATCTTGGCTGGAAGTCTGGACATATGTTTTCAAATTAATTACATAAATACCTAGGATCATGATTGCTGGGTTTATGGTAAGATTATGTTTAGTTTTGTAAGAAACTGCTGAACTGTCTCCCAAATTGGTTTACCATTTTGCATTCCTATCAGCAATGAATGTGTTCTTATTGCTCCTCATCCTCATCAGCTTTTGGGATTTTCAACTTTGGGATTTTAGCCATTCCAGGTCAACTGACAGATTAGTATGATTACCTTCACCTGTAGGAGTGGAACTAATTTTCACAGTCATCAGTAAAACCCGATCTCGAAAAAAAAATAATTTTTAAGTCACAATGATGGGGATAATGTTTGTATCACTGCCCAATTTGTGTACATGTCTGTGGACTAGAGTGCAAATTGTTTTGTTGTTTTTTTTTTACCATAGCGGGCTTATTGTTTCACCAGTAGCTCATTCCTCAGAACTGCAGATTAATAGCCAAAGAAGTAACTTTCCTGTTTCTCCCTGAGTCAGAGACTGTAGCTGTCAAAAAGCAACATAACTTCAGAGTGCTGTGGTACAACCGTGAATTATGTGGGTCTGAAAGACACTGGGGTTGCAGAAGCATGGCTGATGCCAAAGTATAGTTCCCACGTGGCAATGTTTATTATGAAGACTCCTAAATATGTGAGGTGGAGTTGGATAAACAGAGGCAGTGCTATCACTTTGGATCATCTCGGGCTAATATATTGATATCCTAGTATCAGAATCTGGAAACTAATAGCAGTGGAGGTGTTTGGAAAACGAAGAAGATAAGGAAACAGGAAGGAAAAAAAAAAGAGGAAAAGGTGGTTTTAACCACCAACCATTGAATAGAAATGGTTGCATGCAATTCAGAGGGTAGAGGAAGCAGACCTCAGTCCAAATGAACTTATAAACTTGTAGTTCTTTTTGTTCTTTTTTTTTTTTTTTCAGATGTAGGTCACACAGTTTTGACTGAAGAGCTCTAATTTAGGCTCCCGGAGCCTACCTAATTTTTGTGGAAGATTTCTGGAACAAGACTCACACAGAAGGAAATCAATCAACTTTCAAATGCAGAGGAGAGACTAAATTGAGGGTGAAAATGTGTATATGCCTCCTTCTCCTTTCCCTGTGGCCCAGCTCTGTTTGAGCCTAATATTCGATGGTTTTGAAAGCATCTCCCAAGATATGTCTGCCCCAAATGATCGAAAACAAGTGAAGAGCGCATCTGCGGTCTCCACGGAAAGACTCTCACCTTCTGATTCCTGTCCTGGCTCCATCGTTTTCCAATATGTCTTTGGCAAAGACCATTTTCTCATCCCTGCTGTGGGGAAACTAATACCAGTCTCCACCTCTCTCAAAATGTAATTTTATGTAATATAATTTATACGAAAGAATTTTGTAAATCATAAAGCACCAACAATTTCAAGACTCTGCATTAGCTTGTATGTCCTGTGATAGGTAAGGAGGTGATTCTGCACAGAGAGAACCCACAGTTGTCACCAGAGTTCATACATTCAGTCAGTAGGTTTCTACTTAATGTTACTTTTATGTACTATGCTCAGTACCTCATCATATCATCCATCCTCCGAAAAGGAGGATCTCTAAACACTGTAGTTCCTCTGTTTTTGAACATTATGTGGAGAGAATCATATTGAATATATTCTTTTCTGCCTTGATTCTTAAGATTGATCTCATGGAGGATTAGTTCATTTATATTTATTGCTGTATAGTATTCCATTATAGAAATATATCACAGTTTATTTATCCATTCATTCATTGGAGAACATTCAAGGCATTTCTAATTTTTTGTCATTTCTAGTTTTTTTGTTGATTTTTAAGAATCTTTTAAAAAACGTTTTATTTATTTTATTTTTTTAGAGAGAGGGAAAGGGAAGGAGAAAGAGAGGGAGAGAAACATTAATGTGTGGTTGCCTCTCATGTGGCCCCCACTGGGGACCTGGCCTGCAACCCATTCATGTGCCCTGACTGGGAATTGAACTGGCAACCCTTTGGCTCGTAGCCCATGCTCAATCCACTGAGCTACACCAGCCAGGGCTAGTTGTTTCTAGTTTTTGATGACTACAACATCCTACTAAAAATTCTTAAGAGGATATCCTATGTGATACACACGTGCACAAGTTACTCTAGGTTAGCAGTCAAACATCTGGGTCATAAGGTGGGTAAATCTTCCATTTGTAACGTCAAACCGTTATTCAAAGTGGTTGTACTAATTTATCTTCCCAGTGGTCGTGTATGAAAGTTTTCATGGTTTCAGGTACTTAAAGGTTGTCTCTTTGTTTTTACAGTGTAAAATTTTTGTATTTAGAATTAGCCAGATGGACTGTTAGATGATCCCAATTTTCTTGGCAACATCCAAAGCTCAAAGCTGGGATCCAAAGATACATCTTCTTTTCTCCCTCAGGCTTGATCAGGGTGTTGACCTTGGCCGTATCAATATCATAGAGCTTCTTCACAGCCTGTCTGACTTGGTGCTTGTTGGCCTTGACACCCACAATGAACACCAGTGTGCCGTTGTCTTCTGTGTTTTCATGCCTGACTCGGTGGTCAGGGGGCACCAATGATGGCATGGTGGTCAAGCTTGCTTCTCCTGGGGGCGCTCTTCTGAGGATATGGAGGCGTCCTTCAGAGCCGCAGGGTCTTCAGCCATTGGAAGGTGGGTGACATGTGGCCCTTCTTATTTTGTGGCTGTGGACACCTTTCAGCACTGCTTTCTTTGCCCTCAAAGCTTTGGCTTTGGCTTTGGCTTTGGGAGGGACAGGGGCTTCTTTCTTTGCTTTCAGCACCATCTTCGTGAAAAGTGAAACTGTCTTTCAACCTTTTGCCAATGTGGTGAATAAGTATTGGTATCACATAGCAGTTTTCATTTTATTTCCCTGATTACTAATGAGGTTTATCATCCTTTCATATGTTTGTTAGCCATTAGGATTTTCTTTTATTTTTAAAGATTTTAATTTATTTTTAGAAAGAGGGGAAGGGAGGGAGAAAGGAGAGAAACCTCGATGCGCAAGAGATACGCCGATCAGTTGCCTCTCGCACACCCCCAAGTAAGGGACCTGGCCTGCAACCCAAGCATGTACCATGACTGGGAATTGAACCAGCGACCTTTTGGTTCTCAGGCCAGAACCCAATCTAGTGAGCCATGCCAGCCAGGGCAGGATTTTCTTTTTTAAAAATATTCTGTGTAAGACTTTTGTCTATTCTTCTATTGGGTCATCTTTTTCTAATTGATTCACACAAGCTCCCTATACACTGGATAGTATTGCTTTGTAAGTTACATGGGTTTGAAATATTTTCTCCCACTCTGCAGTTGGATTTTGCACTTCTTTGTCTTTTGATGAGCAAAAGTCCTTAATGTTAGTGTAGTTATAGTCTTGCCTTTCCCATTTAGATCTAAAATCCACCTGGAATTTTTACATGTGCCCTGTGGTAGGGATCGAATTTCATTTTTCAATCCATGTGGTTACCCAATTGTCCTGGACCATTTACTGAAAAACCTGGCCCTTCCCCACTAATCTGCAGTGATATTGTTCCCATATATCAAATGTCTGTTCATGCACGAGAAGCGATGTCTGGGTCATTTGTCATATCTGCTGAATTCTTGTTCACGGTGTCATTTCCTTGTGGGCTTTATTTATTTATTTTTAACCAGGAATCATTCTTGTTGTTTAAAAACATTTTGTGGAAATGAAAACAGCTTTCTCCAGAAAGGCTCTGGGTTGGGTTTGGACAGGTATTTGGGTACACAGCCAATCCTCTTCCCTCACAAGCTAAGTTTGCAATTTGAAATACTCTGAAACACCCAGATGAAGCAAATCCAGGCTAAATTCTGTGAAAAAGACTAGTCCATGGCCACAGTATTCCGTAACTTTTTTCCTCTCCTTTTTAAAAACCTCTCCTTCACTCAGTACCAGAAGTCTTGCCCTGACCGGAGGGCGCGGTTAGTTGGAGCACCATCCGCGTGCACACACGCACAGAAGGGTGCGGGTTCGAGTGTGGTTTCCAAAGGTGTGTTGACATCTCTTATCTGCTGCCACAGTCTCTTCATTCTTGTGGGTTTCTGTCTTTTCTGTGGCTTTACTGTCATTTAGTGAAGTTTCAAGGAGAGGAAATAAATATGATCAATTTTCCACTTTTAATCAGAAGTCTGTGCATACAGTCCAGCGTGGGTTTTGTATATTATCGCAGAGGGAGTGGGGTGCATCATCGATGAGCTAGCTGCTTATTTTAAAGATTATCGTTTTGGCAACTGGGAGAATGGGGTGTGGGGTGAGGATGGACTGGGGGAGGGGGCCCGGGGAGGTTTGTGGGGAGACTGGTTGAGGAACTAGCAGGAAGACACAGGGCAGGCTTCTCGCTCAGCTGCAGCAGGACGGAGACAACGAGGTAGAGGGCGCGGACAGTCTGAGCCTCAGGGTCACGGCCCACATCCTGGGGCTGCTGACCCTGCTCCTGCTCCAGGACAGACTTCACTCCAGTGGACTGTAAAAGCTAGAAACATAGAAATGTGTATAAGAAATGGCTAATGCTTGGTCCCACACCCTAATCCTGGGGCCATGGCAGACACAGTAATCCGTCCCATTGCTCTTCCCTGCAGAGCCTGGAGAGCCCAATACTCCCTCTGCAGAGTGACAGGTACTGCAGACCACTGAGTGTTGTTGCTTACGTTGGTGCCACCTGCCATCCTGGGACTAACAGGTTTACCACCCCCTCTCTGGCCCATCCCTAATTGTCCTGGACACTGTATGTGCAGGAAGCTACAAACCAGCTGGCTGGACATGAGCTGACAGCACTATGAAGTCAGAAGGGCCAGAATCCTGGGACTTCCGGGCCCCTTGAGAGCACAGTCATTCACTTCAACCACCAGCCTGGCCCTCAGCCCAGGCTCTCTTACCTGGTCCTTCAGCAAGGGTAGGGTCCCCTTCTTCAGGGTCTCAGCCACGAGCTCCTTCTCCTCGGACAGCTCTGAGAGTGAGTTAAGAGGGCGGTTGGCAGGAAGGAGGGGCAGAGAGCAAGCCGGGCTTCAGTGTCTGATCAGACCCGAGACAGCATCACGGGAGGTTCCAGAGAGCTCCTGGGAGTGCTACACAGGAGTTACTCCAAACGGGCTCCGCTGGGGCTCCCGCCTCCTTCCCTCATAGCCCACAGGCGGTGGGAGACTGTGCCAAGGGGCAAGAGGAGGCGGTCCCTCAATCCTGGCCTGGGGAAGATGGCTAGTTTCTGAAATGTGATGGTTTACTCCTCCCAAAAGGTTGAGGCAATGTGCACCACCTTCCTCCTGAGGTGTGGTGCCCCGCAGGCTCCCCTGCGCGGCGTTTCCTCCACATGGCACCCATCCAGACCCCTCCTCACCCTTCAAGGCATCCAGGAAATCCAGAATGGCTTCTCTGCGCGCCTCTACCAAGATCCCAGCAGCATTAAACAGGCTGCTGATGAGAGGCTCTGCTGGGCCCTCCATCTGCACCTCCTCGGAGCCCAGGACCTCAGACACCTACAGCCAGGGGCCAGGAGATGGGAGGTGAGCACGTGTCCCATTGGCACAGGTTGTCTGCGGTGTGTCGGCTGCCCCACCCCCTGCCCCCCCACTGGCTCCTTCCTCTCTGCCCCAGTGCTTTCTTGGGTCTCTTACTCTTTCATCCAGAGCCTGCAGCTCCTCGTCTGAGGTGAGGCACTTAGTGAGGCAGCTTAGCACATCTTCTCGTTCCTTTGCCGTGAGATCCTGGAGGCCGCCCACTGCGTCCTGCACCTTCTCCTCCATGTTTCTGAAATCCTCCAGCCTCAAGGACTTCCCTGTAGAGGCAGCAAGTAAGAACCCAACCAACCCCACCCTTGGTCCCCATTACCAAGGACCCCCAAGACCCCATTCTCTGTCTGTTTTTCTTCAGGGGACCAATTCTGCATCTTCCCCTCTTCTAATCTTCTTCCCAGACACCCACCATCATTGCTTCCTGCTGACCCCACTTCCATCTCCCGAGCTCACTCCCAGCCTAGTCCCAACCCCAGATTCTTCTCCACCGTCGGGAAATCAGAACTTATTAAGTCCTTGCCACTCGAAGTGCAGTCTTCAGACCACACCGATTGGAGAGAGGATTTAGATGAGGTTAGAGCAGTGTTTCTGGGCCTCGACTGTGCATGAGAGTCATCTGGGGAGCGATTTTTAAAATCCTGATGAGCAGGCCCCGCCCCCAGATCAATTATATCAGAATTCCTGGAGGTAGGACTCAGGTATCACTAGTTTTTTGAGATTTGGGGGGGGGGGGGGAGTTTGTATAGTCCATAATCTGTTTATTCATTCACCTGTTGATGGATATTTGGCTAGTACAAATAAAGCTGCTACAGCATCGGTGTACGAGTCTTTGTATGGATAGATGTTTCCTACTAGTTTCCTAGAGTTGCTGTACCAAATTACCACCAGTGCCGTGGATTAAAGCAACACAGATTATTTTATAGTCCTTGGGGCCAGAAGTCCCCAGATGGTTTCTGCTGGGCTGGAATCAGGGTGTCAGCACATTTGCATTCTTTCAGATGTCACTAGTTTCAAGGTCCCCCCAAGTGATGTCTGTCCAGCCAGCAAGAACCACTGTGTTTAGAGGAGACAGTTGCAACCTCCAGGCTGAATGTGAAAACTGCTTTGCACCCTGCCCTCCCTTTCTACCCTCAACTGCCCCCCCCGCCGCCACACACACACACACACACACACACACACACACACACACACTCCTTGAGGCCAGAGGGCTCCAAGGTAAGGGGGTGCAGGCACCCTGAACACAGCTGGCTGCCGTCCTTACCTAAGCAAGATGAATCACCATCTTCCTCTGCAAAGAAAGGGAAAACATCTCAGAGAGTTTTTAGGTCACCTCCAGCCCCCGGTGGACATGCTCTTCCCAGGAATGAAAGATTTTGTTCCTGGACTCAGAGCCCTCACTGCCCACGCCAAGAAGCCTGTGTCCTTATCACTGTGTGAAGATGACAAAGCACTGTATTCACAGACCCATCCCCCCATCCTCAGAGATAGGCAGCCGTAGATTATTCCCTGATGATTGAAAGCAGCAGAAGCCCAGAGAGGGCGGAGCGGGCCCCAGTCCTCAGCAAGTTCGTGTCGGAGCAGCAAGCGGAGTCCCTCTCCTGACTCCTCCCTTATGGCACTTAAGAATGACAGAGACTCACTCTTCTGAGCTAGCGGGACCTTGCCCAGACTGAACCTGTAACTGCTACAACTTCTAGGAGTTTCTTGAATTTTCATCCACATCTAGACCTCTTTCTACCCTTTCCCAAGGCCTCTTAGGCAGTGCAACTCCTCTGGGACCAGGGAAAGACACTGAACTTCCAGAGGCAGCCACATTTGGAATCACAGGGACCTCCTAGTCTAACCCATTCATTTTAAAGTCGGGAAGACCATGGCTCAGGAGGCTACGGAGCTAACGAGTGGGAGAGTCGGGACTGGAGCCTGAGGCTGGGTGACTCCCCAGTACAGTGCCCCTCTGACAGCCAGTGCTGTCTGGTGGGAACGGGTCACATAATTCAACTGTGCCTCCTGGGCCAATAAGGTTTCAGTGAGGGCTGTGACCCCGCAATCCGGCACACTGACCCACACAGAGTAGCTCCAAGTCAGAGCCTGGAAACGCTAGGCCAGCATGCAACCCAACCTGCTTCTCCAACAGGCACGTCATTCTCCAGCCCTGACCGCAGTTCCTACTGCCACCGCATCCTATTACATTCCCAGCCTTAATATCCTGTATCTCCAAGCCACTTGTAATTCATAATCCTCTTTTTAAAAATCGTATCCTTGCTTATTCTGGAATGATGAACAGGAAGTACAGCTCACTCACCTTCTGGAAAGGATTTTGTTTTTCCAGTGAAACAAATATCTAAACCAATGCAAGAGGGTGGGGGGAGAAAAAAGACCAATTATCAGAAAGACTGGTTTTCTCTAAGACCCTCCTGCTAGTCTCTCCCCAATCCTCATGCCCTGCCCTCCACCAAATAAATAAATAAATAAATAAATAAATAAATACCAGGAGGGAGATGGGAGTTAACATCTCTAGGAAAGGATCGGTGTCATGTGTCATGATGAAAGGGACCCTTGGTCCAGCAGAGTCTGAGCTAGGAGCCTCAGTCCTTCCCAGTCCTGAACCCTCCCTCCTTCTCCTCCTCCGCTTCACGAAGCCTGGCTGAATCAATCCCCACTCCACTTGCGTGTCAGAGCCCCTCCCCCACCTTGCCCCCACCAGGCCGTGCTTACTCATCCTTTCCAAGCTGGGGAAGACGAGTTGCTTTACTCGATAGCCCAGGACCAGATTTGGGGGGATGGTTACTGCCCTTTGGTGCTAGGAAAAAGGAGCTCGCGTTAATAGATTCCATTAATTGTTTCACAGGTGCTTTACATAGCTATCTTGCCTGCCTGATCTCCCAAACAACCCTAGGAGGGAGAGATTTCATGCCCATTTTACAGATGCGAGAACTGAGTCTCAGCATCAGTAGGTGAGGCAGTTTCACAACTAGAAACTAGCAGAGCTGAAATTTGAACCCACATCTGAGCTCAAAACACATGTTGCTTCCACTCTACACTCAACAAATGTTCACTGAGGACATATGTCCTTCCAGGCTCTCTGGCTCCTGCCCTCCTACCTCTTGGAAAGGGAGGCAGACGATGAATAAGCAAACAACCCAATGTACTGATGAACTATGGGAAGCACTAAGAAGCAGATGAACACAGGGCATCACCAGAGGGTACCAGGGAGAAACTTAGCGATGCTACACACACCTTCTTGAGCAAGAAGAGAAGCATAAGAAGGCCAAGGAGCAGGCAGGTCTGCTCTGGGAGGCCTGGAGGAAGAGCTAAGGAGCCTGGCGTCTGGTCCGGCACTCCTCCGGCCTGTGGCAGGCGGGCCAGGCTGGCTCTCTCCCCAGTCCCTGTTTCCCAGGACCCTGACCTTGCGTTCACATTTCAGACCACAAAAATCCAACTGGCTCAAAAACGTGTGTTGCCGTGCGCTCTTCAGGGTTTCCGCCCTGGCTGTCTGCAGAGTTTCCGTCACCAGATACAGGTCCTCTCTCCTTGTTTGCGCTGACAGCAACAAGGCGGGTAGTTTTCTCTTCAGCTTCCTGCAGGGAGTGTGGGGGGTGAGAGGTCAGGATTTAGGGGCCCCCTTCTCAGTGACATTTTCCCCTCCCCATCAGCTAGTTCCTATTTGAGATCAAGTGCTTCTGAGGCTGGAAAACCAAGGCTCACAGCACCCCCATTGTAGTGCACTTTACCCGCTGTGGGGGCAAGAGGGTGCAAAGTGGAAGGGGAGCTCACTGACATTTTTGGAAGAAGGCGCTGCACTGCAAGGTCCTTCCCACCCATTGCATTGCACCCTCACCACGACCCTATGATATAGGCAGAATCGCACCCATTTTCCACATGAGGAAATTGGGGCTTAGAGGTGGGTTCCAAAGGGTCCAAGGTTGCACAGAGAGTAAGTGTAGATAGAGCTGGGATTCAAAAGCTGCTCTGTATGAGTGCAAAGCATGTGCCCTTCCCGCTGCACCGAGATAGGCACCCGCCCGGCCCACAACACCCTCTTTTCTGAGAAGGGGCTCCAGCTCCTCGATCTGGCCCCTGGGGCCTGGACATAATTTCCACCTGTGGGCTCCAGGCGGCATCTCTGATTCCATTAGGAGATTCATTTTGTGACTAAAAACAGCCTGAAAGAGCTTCTTATTTGCAGCCAGACCCTCAAAGAGGACCTACTACATACAGCCGTGCCCCTGCTGACCTTCCTCCACCCGCCTGGCACCCCGCCCCCAACCCCACTGCACACCCCACTCAGCCTCACCCTGGAAGCAACAGGCCTTCTAGAAAAAAAAAAATCGGGCTCCCTTGGAAAAGGTCCAGAGACTCCTTCCCAGCAATATTACAGTGGGAAGAGGTAGTTCAGAAGACCAGTAAAATTTCACTGTCTTTCCTTTTTTCCTTAAAAAGGAAAAACAAAGGCGTCCACCTCTTCAGGGAGGGCTAACCCAGGAGAAGCCTGGGGCCCCTTTCCCTAAGCTGCTCCACACTTGCCAACGATTCCGGCTATGGGAGAAAACACCAACACCTGCAACAGGACAGTTGCTGGGCGGAAGGCCGGTGACGCCCTGTTAAGTCCCTTCAAAGCACCTCAACTATCAGAACCTTGATCGATGCCACCCAGGTGGGGAGGGGTGGTGGCACCTTCTGTGCAGGAAATGCTCTGCAGGGGCCCTTTGAGTTCACTGTGCTTCCCTTCATCTCTCTTACTGAGCACCCGCTGGGGATAAACACAGGGTTAGTAACGTCAGCTCCACGGAAGCAGAGGGGGGTGCAAACCTTTGCCTTGCCACAAAGCAGAGCGGAATAAGCACAAAATGCAGATTTGGGCAACTCAGTATGGAAAAATAGACGGGACTGGCACCTTGAAACCAGGAGGTTTTGGTCCAAGCCAGAGAACTCAGTCACCCTGGAAGGCAGCAGGGATGTGAGTGAATTGGGGGCATCAGAAGAAGGTTTCCCGGAGGCTGATCCTGGACGAATGAGAGGCTTCCTGACAGTGGACAAGAGGAAGGCGGCATGCTGGAGTGAAAGACTGGGTTGAGGCTGGGCGGGCGGCAGGGCGGGTGCTGGGAGCAGGCAGGGAGGCTGCCCCCACCTCAGGTGCCCTTGGTTCCCCAAATGGGCTTCTCCTTCTCAGTCTCCCCACTGCTGCCTACCTCCAGCCTCACCTGTTCTCAAGGAACTCCAGATATTGCTGGGGTATCCTGGACCCCAACATTGTGATGCTTTGCTCATGAGACCCATGCAAGCCCCCTTCGATTGTTATTTGTTTGGGCAATTTCACTGTCAATGTCCCAACGCAGTCCACCATATCCACAACTTGGAACTTGGCCTTTTGACCTGGAGGGAGAAGGAGGAAGATCATGCCGATCTATGAATTTCCGGAGGAAAATGCATTTTGGAACCGATGAGACATGACAGAACCGGAAATAGTGCCTGAAATCCATCCTGGCGTGTGACACTAATGTCTCAGGATGCGTGTGTTTCTTGAGCAATGTAAAAGTTTGCATGTACTTTGTCAGACAGAAAAGACAAATCAGACCTTATGTACACAGCCCTGGCTGGTGTGCTGAGTGGATCGAGCACTGGCCTGGGAACCAAAGGTTGCTGGTTAGGTACCCAGTCAGGGCACATGCTGGGTTGCAGGCTGGGTCCCCAGGAGAGGGCATGTGAAAGGCAAACACACATTGATGTTTCTCTCCCTCTTTCTCCCTCCCTCCCCCTCTCTCTAAAAATAAAGAAATAAAATCTTAAAAAAAAAAACAACCTTATGCACACAAAGCATACAGCATGGAAGCGGATGAAAGACTAATTTTATAGCAGAGAAACATGATGAACACTGCCTCAACCAGGTGAGCATGATAAACATCAGCAGTGAAAGTCACGTTGACAGTACGTACCCCTGATAGGCTGCAATGGGAATGGTACTTCACCTCCCTGGTTTCCATCAGACCCATGGTTACCTCGGTCTAACCATCAGACAAATTCCAATGGAGAGGCACCCTACAATTACGCCTGACCAGTACTCCTGGGGACGGTCAAGGTCCTCAAACACAAGAGCAGTCTGAGAAATTATCACAGCCAAGAGGAGCCTAAGGAGATAGGAGGACCAAAGATAATGTGGTCCCTTGGATGAGGTCCTGGGCCAGGAAAGGGACATTAGGTCAACTAAAAGAGCCCCAGTGAAGAATGGACTTTAGACAGTAAAAAGAAACGCACAAAAAAAGCCCTCCGTGTACTTTAACAACAACGCCAGCACCCTGAAGTTAAATAAGTAACTCGTTTGGAAAGGGAGCCAGCCAGGTTGCTAAAAACCAATCCAAATTACCAACTCACTCCCTCTGCCTCTGAACGTTCAATGCAAACAGATAGACTTTCCCTTAAAGGGAGTTAAACTGACTTAGTCAAGTTTTTATGGTCACGGCAACATGCCCTAGTCCTGTTTTAAAGTGTTTTCTTGTTTTCGGTGGATGGTCCTTTGGCAAACTGATTGAGAACCACCTTTCGGTAAATCAGCTCTTGGCAACTGGCTTTTCAGAGAGTTGACTGAGAGCCTTTGAAAAAGACGAAACTGAAAATGTCCTAAAGCCCCGTGCTTGCTTAATTAATTTCTGATATGAAAACCCGTGCCCCCTTTGAGGCACCCGAGCCCTGTTCTTGGTTGCAGAACAGCAGGGCCTGGCACATGGCGGGCACTCTAAAACCGCTCGGGGGGCACCGGCAGAATTCTTCTCCATCTCTCGATGGGCCCCGGGTGGGCTGTAGCCGGATGTTGGAGCTGTGAAACTCCTCTGCGTGCAGTGTGAGACGCGGGCTTGATAACACTTACCCTGGGACCTCTCAAACCCCCTCCCCCAAACCAAGAATAGCTAAGCCTGGAAGCAGGAGATGCAGCAGACTCCTCCGTGAGTCCCCACAAGGCCTCGGGGAGTTCTGCTCACCAGCCACTTGGTCACGATCTCCGGGGAACATGAAGGGACAATACTAGCTGCCACAGCAGAATGACGGGGGCGAACTTCTATTGAGTGTTCCTGTGCAGGCACTGTGGTAAGTGATTTACGTAATTGGTCCCATTCGATTCTTACGACAGTCTGCTTGAGTTGGCAGAAGAGAAAACTTGTTCAGAGGTCGCCCAGCTGGTCAGCGGCAGAGCCAGGCTTAGGAACCAGAAGCCCCCAGCCCGAAAGCCTGCGTCTTAACTGGTAAGAAAAGACCTCCATTTATTCAGTCCCTTTAATAATAAACATAAACACAGGAAAAGACATCGGCTAATTCTAAAACAAATTATTTACAAAGGGAAAAAATGGGAAAGGAAACCCTGACCAGTGTGGCTCGGTTGGTTGGATGCTGTCCTGCAAAGTGAAAGGTCACGGGTTCGATTCCCATCGAAGCACATACCTGGCCACATGTGAGAGGCAATGGATCGAAGTTTCTCTCCCTCTCTTTCTCCCTCCCTTCCCCTCTCTCTAAAAAATAAATACATAAAATATATTTTTTAAATGCTGGTACTAAGTTATCTTTTCAAAAAGTGGGGGGCAGGCAAGGAAAACTATTTAGGAATAGTTTCCAAACAAAATAAATGTCCATATCCCTCCTTCTCCCATGCAGCTCCTCTGGGCATTTCTTAAATTGAGGTGTGCGGACGTGTTTGTACAAATTCCACGGTTGGTCGACTTGATTGCTGGCAATGGGGAGTGGAGGGAAGGGTGGGGTAGGAGGGAGCGAAATCTCCTTGGCTGGCCATCTCTCACGTACCTCTTACTGACCTGGGAGCCCCAAATCCAGCCTATCGAACCCCTCCTCGCCGTCCTCTGTCTCCAGTATGTCCTCCAGGGTGAGGTCCGTACTGCGGTAGCGGCGTCTGAACAAACCTCCCTTCCCCCTCACCAGACGTAAGCAGCGAAACCTGTCGGCATCGACGATGCTTCTGACTTCAATCAAGTCACCTCCAGCATCCATCTCATGGACCACCGCCTTGGTGATTGTCTCAAATAAGCTGGGCATGGTGCCTGGAGCAGCTGGAAGAAGGAAGCCGACTTCAGTTTGGGGGATCTGGGTTCAGGTTTTTAAATCTACCTTTGGCGGCCTGGGGTCAAGGAAGACGCAAAGTTCTAGGACAACCAGGATTTGGGGTTATTTGCCTTCCCTGTTTCTAGAAAGTGAGGTGGTCTCTACACACTAAGGGGGGGTGAGCACCACACATGCCTGGTTCTCCTCTGCCCCCCACGGAGCACTTCTGCAGGAAGGACGGAGCAGGGATTGTCCCACATGGAAAGTGAGGCCTGTTTTCTGCACCTCCCACAGCGGAGTTGTCCCCTCGCCCAGAGGGACAGCGAGGGGAGGGAAGGCAGGCCCGCCATCCCCTGGCCAGACTCTCACCAGTGCTGATGAAGACAGGACCCAGGAGGGGATGGGGGGCATGGTAGCCAGGCCTCGCGGTACCAACCCCAACTGATTACTTCGTCCTTCGGCTCCTGGGCCTCCCCCCCTTGCTGTATCCCACGAGGCAGTCGCGTGGGTGCCCCTACCAACCATCTCCCAACAACATGGTGGTAAGTCGGCCTCAGAAGGAAACAAAAGACTAAGGATGGAGTGCCAGAGTGGCCGGGAGCTGGCACCTCCGGGTCCTCTCTCCTCAGTTTCTGGTCATCTTCTGAAGGGCCCCCTTATGCTTGGTAAAATAAAATGAACCCCCAAATGCTAGCTGGAGCCTCTCCTCCCACCCACTTTCCCCTTCACCCCCACCCAGTCTGCAGCTGGCCCCTGTCCCGCTCTGTCTCGCTGCCCGGTGGGAGCTCCATAGACCCACGGCCAGTCTGGTCCGACCCAGCTGTTCCTTCCCTGCGCCCTTTCAGCAGTAGCTCTGTCCCCACTGAGTCAGATCTTTCCTTCTCTCTTACCTCCACATGCTCCTTACTCTGTTCCCTTCCCACCAGCCACCTGGCAGTTCCTTTCTTCTGAGATCTCTTTCCCTTTCCTCAGGCTCCTCTGCTCCCCTCCTGGCACTGGGCCTCCCCCCACAAGCTCCCTTGTGTCCCGGACACCCATGCTCCCTTTTCTGTCCCTGCCCCCATTATGGTGTCCAACTCCCGACTCACGCCCAACTCAGAAACCCTTCTGGACGTCCGGAAAGGCCCACAGGCCCACCCACCTCTTCTTTGTCCTCAGCTGCTCACGGGAAGCGCAGGTTAGGAAAATCCCCTCTGTGAGATCTCTGCACAATTCCTGGCCACCGTGACTCAGGAAGCCATAGCAAGGGAATCGAAAAGAACTGGAATATTGGGCAGGGCCAGGTGCCCCACCTCCCAGACCTTCAGATAAGCTATGTTATGGCTGGGCTGGAGGCAGATAAGGCCAGAGGTAATAAACCCTTCCCTCCCTCGGAGCCCAGGGAGCAACTGGCATATCTGTATCTACACCTGATATATATTCTAGGTGAGTGGGTGAGTTGGGGCCAGGGAATGGTGCAGAACCAGGCACATGAGGCCATGCAATCCAGCTCGGAATAGAGAAACAGAACATGAGTGGGTACCAACCCTGAGCCAGCAGGTAGTGGCCATGGCTGTGTTAGGGATGGGAGAGCGATGTGGTGAGAACCAGCTACCCGAACGCCGTGCCGCGGTGGACAACGCTGAAGACAGAGAGCACCAGCCGTAGGGACGGCTGAGTCGGTGTGGAGGACCCTCAGAAGGTGCCGCCACCTGTCTTCTTCACCCACCTCCTTTGCCAGGGCGAGACCTCGGGCTCCACCCAAGTCAGAAATGGCCACCCAAGGGAGCCCCACTTATCTTCCGGCCCCTGCCTCCCCCAGTTCCGACAGAACATTTCAGCAGATGGTGATGGTAGTGGGGACAGGAGTAATGCTAATATGCCTACGGAGTACTGAGTGTTTACTACACGCCATGATCAGGCTAATCCTCACAATCACCCTGAGGGATTATCTTTACACAACAGAGGAAGAAACTGAAGCTCAGGGAAGTAACTGGACAAGGCCGCGAAGCCAGTAAGTGGCAGAGCTGGGATTTGAACCCAGAGCATTGTGGATGTGTCCCAGGCCCTCCCGACTGCACTTACAGGTCGGCGGAAGGCCCCAGGGCACCCCCACCACTAGGACCGGACCCAAGGGGCTGCATTTCTCCTCTCGAGGCTGTGTGGGCCTCACTCAGAGGCGGGCAGAGGGTGGAGGGGGTAAGGGACATGGGCAAAGACCCCTGCACAACTCCAGGGACGTTGCGATGCTGGACTAGGGCCAGAGGAACCCAGGCTGCCGCGGGCAGCTCCTCCCTCCCACCCGGACTTTGTACCTGGCCTGGGAAGAGCAGCTGACTGCTACGTGCGGACACAGTGAAAGGCTGGGAACCTGGAGGTGAGCTCAGGGAGATTAAGGAGTCCTTCACTGAAGGACTCCACCCTCTCTAGCCAGGGAAGCCTGAGTGAGCCCTGGGGGTACCTCTGCCCCTCCCACTCACACGGGGAGAAAGAAGCATAAAGATTTCTCAAAGAAAGGCCAGGAGGAGATGCAGCCCTCCCAGGGTGGGAGAACTGGGGAAAGGCATTCAGAGAGGACCGGGCACCCCTAGGGCCTCCAGCTTCATTTGTGAGGCCACTGCTGGACTGACCTCCCTGGCCATGACACAAGCCATCTGTCTACCAGCCCAGCCCATGGAGCCCAGAGGTGGAAGCTCTTTCAGAGGTCCCAACAGCCAGAAGTCACAGGGCAGAGTCCTGCTCTCCGCCCGTGGCTGCTTCTGTCCCTCAGAGCTGCTTGCTCTGCTGGGGGCAGTAGGAAGAGCAGCAGTCCCAGCGTCCCTGTCACGCTCCAGGCAGAGGGTCCGACTGCCGCTGCCCCCCCCCGCCCTCAGCAGCAGTGGTGGCCCACCCCCTGCCCCTTGCCCAGGGCCCTGCAGGGAGCAGACGCCAGACTCGGGGGGAAACAGAACACGCTGTCCTTTATTTGTGTTTCTCAGAATACTGTACAAAGGGAGTAAAAATCCTATTCACACTTTGCTTAGAAAGATTTTGAGGTGAAAGTTCCCTATGATACATGGGGTGGGGGTGGGGGGCCGAGAGGCAGAAACCAGAGCCAGTGACCTCCCATGTCCCTCAGGGCCCTGGGAGGGGGCAGAGGCAGGCCTGCCTTTGCAGAACACAGGCCCTCGTCAGACCGGGGAGGGAGAAGGCGGCCCCTCTCCAGCGAGCTCAGGCTCCTGCCCCACCGCTTCCCCTCAGTGTAAGGAGACAGCACCTGCAGGCCACTCCTTGCTCTGTCCACCACCCTGCCCCAGCCAGCAGGGCCATGCAGGACTCCACAGTCGGGGGCAGCCTGAATGGCCCCATGGATGCAAGCCCCACGAGAGGCCCTGCCCCAACGCCTGCCTACAGGGTGAAGAGCTGCGAAAGGTGACCCCGTGCCTTGTTTCTGTCCCAGTTTCCCCCCACCCCTCACACCACTGCAGAAGGCAGTGTCAAACTGGACCTGGGCTCGGAGTGCCTAACAGGCCTCCTGCACCCAACCCCACCCTGCACACCGACCCAGGAGCTTCAAAGCCACAGCGGGCTCCCCCCTATTACCACCACCATGCTGGGGGTAAATTAACTCTCAGAGCGTGGCTATTCCCTCGACTATTTCCCAAAGGATGAGGCTGGGTCTAGCTTGTGCCCCCACCCGCCCGCCTGCTCTCACACCAATCTCTGCTGCCCCGTGACTCCCTTTTTCTGAGTCTCAACTCGCTGTTCCCACCCCTTCTCCACCCTCCTTCCACCTCCACCAGGGCAGGATGGCAGCAGCCCTGGCCCCTCACCTCGGGAACCACCCTCCACAAGCAGCCCCACCACCCTCTGTTTACCCTCCCCCACCCCACTCCCCATGCGGGAGGGCGGGGGGTCGTAGGGGAGCTGCCAAAAGCATGAGGCTTTTACTACACAGTTCTCCACCCAGAGGGACACGGCGCCGCCGTGCACTGCCTGTCACACGTACGAGCACACGCTGAGGACTGTCCTCACACTTCAGACCAAAGTGACACGACAGAGAAGCTGTACCGCCCCTCGAGGGGGTTAAAGTGCTTCAGTGGTCCGAGGCCGCCTGTCCCAACCTCAAAGGTCTGTGTTCAGCCTGGGAGCCCAGCCCATCCATGACCACCCCACGGAGTCTCTATCCCAAAGGCAAAAGAAACAAGATAAAAAAACCAGAAGGGTCCGCGCCCAGGGGGAAGGGGCTGGGGTGGGCAGTTTCCACCCTAACCCCACTACAAGCTACTTCGAGTCAGCTACCAGGAGGACGCGAGGGGGACATGGGGCCCAGAGGCCCAACCCCGCCTCTGGCAGTCTCCAGAGGCTCCTCTGCTTTCAGCAACACAGCGCAGGTTTCTGTCCCTCTCCTGCCATCTGCGCAGGCAAGGGGCTCCACCCTCAATATTTATTGATCCCAAAGATCCGGACTCCGTGGAGCTGGGGCAGCTTGGGGATGAGCACGCTCATCAAAGACACAGTGTTGAGGATGAAATGGATCTGGTCGTACTTGGTGTAGAAGCTGGTGAGAAAGTACCTGGTGGAAAAGGTCAGGGAGAGAGAGGTGTGAGACTCTGTCTGGAGGATCCCTTCCTCCTCTCTCCCTGGGTGGAAGTTCCCTATGATACATGGGGTGGGGGTGGGGGGACCCATGTATCTCAGCAAATTCTTCACAGCTGAGAATTTATGGGGAAGGCCCCCAGAGCAGATATCGATGGCAATATCTCCCCAGAAAGAGAGACCCCTCCCAGCCCAGTCCCCTTGCTTTACCTCCCGCCTGTAGGCCCCCCTCCACCGGCAGGAAGGAAGCCCCGGATGAAGACAACAGGGCCAGGGAGGCACAAGGCCTGCGCCCAGCACACGACCAGAGGTGCTCCAGCTTCCCTTCCTTTCCCCGCTCCCATGCCCAGAGCCAGACTGGGGAGGCAGGCCTGGTGGGGCCTCAGGGTGCCCCGGGCCTTGGCCTGCCTGCCAGCATCCTCCCTCCACCCAAGGCACTCACAGCACGATGGGTGTGATGGTCAAGAACTTCCGAGACGCTGTGAACTGAACCCCATAGTCCATCTGCTCCCAGTGGGTCAGCAACCTGGCCTTGCCCTGGTCCGGGGTCTCGAACGGTGTGCCCTTCACTGTGTGTAGGAAGATGTACATGCCCTGGAAGGAGGGGCCTTCATTAGCAGACACAAAAGGCAAAAGGCCCGCCAGCTCAGCAACTCCGCCTGGTCACAGAAGTGGGCTCCGGGTGGTGCGGAGCCTCCCTCTGGCTGGCAGAGGCACGTGGGCTGGAGGCCAGGCCTGACTGAGGAGACACACGGGAGCCGGCAATGGAGAACCGCCCTCCAGCCCCACAGTAGCCTCCTTGCGCCAGCTGGGAGGGGGCAGGCTGATGGGAGGGAATCAGGCCCCTGCCTGCCCAGCGAGAGAGCACAGGTAGCAAGCAGGTGGTGAAGGAGCAGAGAGGCCAGAGTCAAAGATGGTCTGAGATCCTAATTTGGGAAAGGGGCATTTCTGTACCAGGCTATGCACCTGGGTCCTAGCGACTCTTTGGGACCCTTAGTTCAGCTCTCAATGGCTCATCTTCCAGGTGCATAAGCTACCCCACCCTGCATAGATGAGGGCAAATCTGCTGATCTGAGTCCTCTTACTGGAGGGCACAGAGCTGGACCCCAGAAGGGGGAGCAGGGCAGAGATGAGAGCTGAGTCTGGGCCCTGGTGACAGATGCTGTCAGCACGTCACCCTGACTTCCGGCCCATGCCTGGGGGCTCCTTCTACTCCTCAGTCCCACCAGAGCAGCCCACACCGTCAGGGCGGGCAACAGACAGGCCCTCACCATGTTGTGGATGAGGTTGGTGAGGGTCCAGACCACAGGGACGCTCACGAAGGGGATGCTGAGCAACACGACGTGGAGAAGCCCGATGGCCAGCACGTAGGAGAGCCAGATGCCCCGGCTGTTCATCACCCGCGTGTTAGGGTTCACCTCGCTGTGCGCCGTGCCCACGTTCATCCTGCTGCCCCTTGCCTGCCACTGCTCTGCAAACAAGCAGCACAGGTGAGACAGGTCACACCACTTTCCCTGCCCCCTCACACCCTCCACGTCCCGCGGGAGGGAGGCTCTGCTCACCCCAAGAACTCCAGGCGGTTCTACTGTTTTGATTCACACACAAAGAGGCCAGAGAATGTCCACGTGGACTGAACTCTGTTCACTTCCCAATGCTGGGCTGGGAGAAACACCATACATCATCCAATCAGAACAGTGCCCTTCTAGGCTGACTGCCTGGGTGTATAGATCATCAAGAAGCTTCTAGCCCCAGAGCAAAGAAACCACTGCCCCTCCTCCAGTCTCACCCTCCGGGGCATTCCCAGGAGGGCCCTCTTCCCAGAAAGCCCAGGGAAGAGGAGAAGAGGCCTGTCCCCTAAGAAACACTCATAACTCCTGCTGGACTGTCTCATTGAGGACTGATACGAGGCATCTACCCCTTCCCTACCTTCCCCACCAGAAGGAATAAAAGGAGGTGGAGCCTGATAAAGAGCAGCGGATGAAATATTTGGGGGGGGGGCATTGATTCTATCCATCTCCCCTAATTCTCCAGTCCTGGGTCTGCACAAATCCAGGCCCAGGAGGACTGAGGATAGAAAGAGGGAGGGAGGGATAGAGGGAGGGAAGAAAAGAGAAAACAATACTAGGACAACCTTTGCTCAGACCTGGAAGCCTCCCTCTTAGTGACAAAAAACAACCACTCCAGATGTTCCATCCAATTGGCAGCAACTCTGGCGAAGCCTCATGATGCCGCCTACTCTGCTGCCAAACCACCAGGGCCCTTTCCCCACCAGAGGAGAGGTGAGGACAGAGAACATGGCCAACATCTACAGCTCCCACAGCAGCTGGAACCCAAATCAACATACCCCTCCTGAGGTCACAAAACCACACCCGTGGCCTCCGTGCTGCCCCTTCCCCTCTGCCCGACTCATCCTCACCTCCGCCTCCTTTCCCAGCACCCGTTTCCAGGGGTTAGTAGCACCATGCCTTCCCTTGCCCATCTCCAATGGCGGAAACATGCAGCATGAGGAACGAGAACTGCCCTTCATGCCCAGGAAACAATGCAACCCAGTTGCATTCCTGGATGCAGGCAAGGAAGGGTTGTGCAGTCCCTTGTCCAGAGCTTGGCTGTCCCCAGATCCCCAAGGGCCCTGTGACCAGCAGGAAGTGGGAACAGATGGTGCCTTTGTACTGGTTCACCTCCTGAGCTGAGGGAAGGTCTTCCCTGATAAAGACCCTAAGGTCGTCACCATGGTAACAACCCCATCTTTCCTGGGAACACAGAAAGGGGTCCCAGATGGAGGTATCCCAGAAGTGCCCAGAAGGCCACCTCCCTCACCCTGCTGCGATGAACCCCTTCAGACCCAGTTGCTATTTATCTCTGACTAGGATCACAGCCAAACCTGTGCAGGCGCCAGAATTCTTGAGAATCAGTTCCTCAGTTCCAGGATAATGGGAACAAGTTTGCTCTTTTCCCACAGCTCGAAGCTCAGAGACCTCAGAGGAAACGTGGCACACACACCTCCCCAACGTGCAAACACGCATGAGATGGCCCAGGGTGTACCCTAGAAGGGATGCTCTTGGGGCCAATCAGCTCAGCCCATTAGGCTGGATAATTGGGCCCAACGGAAACCCAGGGAACTAGAACACCGGGACTGGCTCCGTTGTTTACCTTCCCAGAGGCTTCAGTTACTCTAACACAGCTCCTGGGAACCTACTATGCAAAAGCCTCCACCTTGGGGTGGGGGCGCTGGCTAGGAACTGAGGGCAGGACTTACTACTGAGTAAGGGTAGAGAAACTGTTCCCCAAGTCTACCAGCAGCTGCTGCCCCTCCCCACTTCTCCCTAACCTCACCGTACAGGGGGTACAAGTAGAGACCTCTAGTGCTCCCTGATATTTTGTCCAGGAGTCTTGCTGAATCCCAGATCATTCCACCCTCCTTTCTGACTGAAACAGGCATCCAAGGAAGCCCGATGAGTCCAGGAGGGGCCCACATTTAGGATCTGCCACCCCGCAGCAAAGTTCCTTCCTGAGCCTGAACACTAATTGACCTGAGAGCAGAAATCCCAAGAGACACCTCCCTCCAGCCCCCCAAAAATAGACCAGATCAATAAACTAAGAACAAGATTGGCATCCGGGAAGCACTCTTGAGCCTTTTGTGTGACTAAGGGTACATTTCTCTTCCATTAGTAAACTGACCCACTGCCCCTCACTCAGGAGAGACCTGGGCAGAAGCTGGCAGAGGTGAAGCAAGTCTACAGCAGCCGAGGCTGAAAAGTTCTGAGGCCATAAGCTGGCAGGCAGCTGCCTGTGCCAGTCCCTAATGTGGTTTCATAACCTGCCTCAAACCAGAGCCTGCAGCAACTCTGTTCTGTTAACTACTTTCTCGCTGGTAGCTCTTTCCTACTCCTACCCTCCCTTTCCCCCTGACTCTATGCACAAATATCCCTGCCCAGCGTGTCTGTAAGACACCTAAGCCAAGGCCACAGTGCGTCCCAGGCCACATTGGTCCCAGGGCAGCAGCCAGGTAAGCGATTATCATACTCTCCCCCAAACAGAGGCAGCCCTTTAAGTAATGCACCTTTTCCCTTCTGGGTGACGAGCACGAAACAGCCAAGCCTGCAACTGGACCCCAACGGGGAGTCCCTGGCAGCACGCCACAATGCCATTTTCATTCCGTCCACCTCTCTGAGCTGCTGGGCCACAGTAGCTGACCTCTTAGCTCTGGCCCTGCCTCCTGGACTCTAGAAAGCAGTGGAAAGGGAAAGAAGGCCAGGTCTGGAGAGAACCCCACTAGCCCGGAGAGAAGGTGAATCGAAGAGGCCGAGTCCTCACTGCTGTTGGGGTTTTCTGAGTGAGACCTCAAGCCAAAGTGGAGGCTCTCCCTCCGCTCCCCAGCCTAGGACCTCGCACTCGGAGACTGGCTAGGTCCGGAGCCTCACCTCCACCTCCATGCGTTCACCCAGCCCTGGAACCGGCCAAACCTTCCCCCAACCCCCAAAGCCAAGCCGCTCCAGGCTCTTCACCCCTAGCCCGAGCTCCTGCTGTCCCCGCCACGCTCCACCTCCCGCCTCCGACCCCATTTTCCCCTTCGGGTATTCCTCCGACTGACGCACTCCCCCACCTCCTCTCACCATGCCCTCCAGCCCGGGGCACCCCCCCACCTGCAGCTCCCATCTCCATTCTCGCCCCACCTCTAGCCCTAGGAACCTCCCGGTTCGCCCAACAAGAGCCCGCTCGTTCGGACTCACCGTACGGTGCCGGAGGTCTAGGGCCCTCGAGGGCCCGGGAGAGGTGCCCGGAGGCGGGGGCCGCTGCAGCTAAAGCAGCTGTAACAACGCGCGTCCGTAGCCACCCCGCTGGCAGCTCCGGCCGAATCAGCGCCCCGCGCCGCCCCCCCTTGACGTCACCTCCCAGCGCCAGTCTGCCCGATGCCTCCTGGGAATAGTAGTTTCCCCTCCACCCACTGTCTGGCCCGTCCGCCTGCCGCCTCCTGGGACTCGACGGTGCCCTCCTCCTCTCCCGGACCCCGCTACTCCACGCACTCACATCGCACCCTGCGCCCTACTCCACCCCAGGCCTCGCTGGGCCACTCAGAAATTTCAATAGGACCTGTTACTGTCAGATAGTATTGCTTTGGTGCGTAGCAACTAGTTTGGCGTCTGCGTGCCCTACAAGTACAGTGTACATTTGCCCCATTTTGCTGATGAGGAAACTCGGAGTTTTAATGAACTTGCCAAAGGTCCCTGCTGTGTCCCAACTTGGACCGGAACCCAGAATTTGACCTCAGGTCAGAGTTTTTCAATTTCACCTTGCTGCCTCCACCCTGGTCCCAGAGTGGCCCTTGAATCGGACTAGCCCAACCCTTTGTCCTGGAAGCGGGCTTTCACGAAGATGGTAAAAATGGGAGTTTGGAGAACAGAGAAAGTGGCCTGTGGGCAGCATTTGTCTAGAGCCTGTTTACTCAGTTACACCTGAGTCAGGCTGGCCTAAGCCAGGCCACATCCTTGGCATTCCCACATGAAACGTTAGAAGAGGACGCATGTCTTCCGAAGATCCCTTGAAGAATAGTCAGGACCCTGAATTCCAGTCCTAGGTCGGCATGTGGTGGCTTTGGTGGGAAGCTCCACCTCTCTGGTGTGCAGCTTTCAAGCCGCATTCTCTAAGGCAAGGGCACAGATTTTACTGACAGGTAGATGTAGCAGACACTTCTTTACCAGCAAATAACTCGACTCCATGTCTAACTCCACACTTGTGAAACCCTGCCTCCAAGGTAGTGCGAATTCAGAAGAATGTGTATAAAGCACCTGTATTATCGTAGGAAGCTATTTCTGTAGGAAGCTGAACTAAATGGCTCTTGAGTTCTCCTGAGTCACCAAGAGGGCCTCATCTGAGTAGTTTCCACTAGACCCACCCAGTTTCTTTCTAAGTCCACTTTGTGCGTGGCAGGGCTGGAATAGCAGGATTAGATGACATCGTGACATGCCAAACTGGGTGGCTGTAAACACACACAGAAATGAATGTGAGGGGACAGAAGGGAGAAGGCTGGCCCGGGAAGCCTGGGGAGCACCCCTTTCAGGCCTGGCCCATGCCTTCCCAGAGGGCTGCCAGGAAACAGATGTCTCAAACCTAGAGTGGCGCCCCAGGAGGCATCTAGTGGGCACCAAGCAAGTGGATATCTGAACCACTCAAAGCAGAACAGGCAGCTTCTCAAATATGTCCAGCGTCAGTGGCCCAAGACTAAATAATCACCCCAGAATCTGAAAAAGTCCTTCCTGGTGTCCTACAGAAGTTTCTCCTGGTTTGAAGAGGCCCCTTAGAGTCAGCCTTGTGAAGACATAAGCAGACAGCTGAGTGTTGTCCTTCCCACAGAAAGCTCCACAGCACTGAAGCGGGCGGGGGGAGGGGGGTCTCTCTTTTTTCCAAAGGGAGCCTGCTGAGTCCTTTGACTTCTCTCTGGGATCCTTCCATCCTCCATCAAGTTGATGGAGCTGTCTGGATCCTTCCCAGTGTCCTCACATCTCTGTGAAGTTCACTGATCCAGACTGGGTCCACATCTCAAATAAGGTTCTGACTAATGCACAGTCTTAACGGAAAGAGCACTGGCCATTCCATGCCCTATTAATAACTCTTGTTATCGAGGGTTTGTTTCTTTTTTCACAGTTGGGAATGAACGGAGTTCTGACTCACTGGAGGTTTGTGGTAAATTGAAGATCACTTTCTGCTTAATGAAGCCTGAGTCCCTGCCATCATCCTTCTCTTTCTCTAGCTCCCTGACCTCATAATTACCATGTCTTCCCCAAACATCCTTGAGCCATGAACAGGCCTAAGTACAGTCCAGAATGAGTGATAGCAGCCTGATGCGGTGCTGGGGTATGCACAGCCCCGTGGACAAGCCATTGGGAATATGTGCCAAGAGGCTGAAAGTCATTAGGGCCCCAGATCCATGACTGCATTTCTGGCTTCGTAGTTTCAGGAAGTGCATCCCGTGTACTTAACTATTTGTGAGGGTGTTCGTTCCAGCATGAATTATGATAGTGGAAAACCAAAAGCAACCTAAACGCCCAAGAAAAAATATTATACCCATCAGATGGAATAGTATGAAGCCCTATAGTAAATGGTTGTGGAAATGCGGCAGTGTGGGAAAATGCTAGGTTACATGAAAAAAGCAGGGCTGAAAATAGCATGAGCATTCCCCAGGGCTGCAGTCAACAGAATCTAGAAAAAGGGAGACTGGAATAAACACCCAAGTCCTTTAACCTAAATTAGAAGAAAAAAAGGACAGGGAGGCTTATAGATTAAAATTAATTCAGCAATATACTTGGGGTTTCTTTAAATAATAATCTTGCCCTGGCTGGCATAGCTCAGTGGATTGAGCACGGGCCTGTGAACCAGAGTATCACGGTTCGATTCCCAGTCAGGGCACATGCCTGGGTTGCAGGCCAGTTCCCAGCAGGGGGCGCATAAAAGGCAACCATACATTGATATTTCTCTCCCACTCTTTCTCCTTCCCTTCCCCTCTCTCGAAAAATAAATAAATAAAATATTTAAAAATAAATAAATAATAATCTTATTTATTTATTTTTAGGGAGAGAGGAAAGGAGGGAGAAAGAGGAGAGAAACATCCATGCGTGTTTGCCTCTCACACGCCCCCTACTGGGGACCTAGCCAGCAACCCAGGCATGTGCCCTGACTGGGAATCGAACCAGCAGTCTTTTGGTTCACAGGCTGGCCCTCAATTCGCTGAGTCACACCAGCCAGGGCGGTGTTGCCTTTTATAAACTCATTGCACGTGTAAATGATATTTGAGCATCTACTTTATTAGGATGTGGAAATTCAACAAAACAAAACCAGATCTTGTGTTAGGATAGAGGGATTTGGGGTGATTTTTTTCATTCTCTAGTTTCAAACTCTGCGTACTATGAGATTGTTTTACATGTTTTGTGAAATGTATTTGTGTTTTGAAAACACAGTGAGCCGTTTTCACAGGCTCTCCTTGCCCTCTGCACGTGCCTTAGTCCACTGTGGCAGCTGCACTGCCCAGCCTCGGGGTGTTTCCATCCGGCAGGGCAGCAGGGCCTCTGCTTGCCACAGATACACCCGTGTGGGCAGAGATAGCAAACATGGGTGGGGATAAACTGGGAACACATTCCAGGGTGATGGCAGTGGTGAGAAGTGAGGAGGTGGGGTGTAAGGGAAGGGGTATAAGAGCCCCTTCCCCCCAACCTCTGAGAGGGAAAATGGCACCCTCCACTCTCACTACCTGCTACCTGCCTTCAGTTCATTCCGGCTCCCTCTCTGCCCCCTGCCCCTTCCTGGGGGGAGATGCTGAGCTGACTCCCAGAGCAAATGCAAGGAAGAGAAAAACTTTGTTGGCAGTTGTGTTTTGGTCTGGGTCGGGGCACCCAGGCGTGTGGTTGCGGTGGGGAGGGATCATGATGCTAAGCGCATGAGCACTGAGCGAGATCTCCTGAGCCGGTGGGAGATGGGGGAGGTGCAGAGCATTGCCCGTGGGCACTCCATCTCCTCCCCTCGCCCAGCCCTGTCTGTGGTTGGCTATTTTGGGCTGCAGAGGAAAAGGGCCGAGCCGGCCAGGGTCTCCAGGGCTGGAGCCAAGGCCTGGGAGCCAGATCCTCCCTCTGGGAACCAAGATGAGGTTGTTCTTTAGGGACCCCTGAAACTGCATTTTTTAAAAATCTGGATATTTGATATTTTCTCCCATGGGGCCGGGGTGGGGGGAAGCAGTTTAGAAAACTTAATATTACAGCCCTGACCTGTGTGGCTCAGTTGGTTGGGCGTCATTTCGAAAAGAAAAATGTTGCTGGTTGGGTTCCCAGTCAGGGCACAGGCCTAGGTTGTGGATTTGGTCCCAGCTGCGGGCCGTGGTGAAGGGTGCACACAGGAGACAACCGGCAGACGCTTCCTTCCCACGTCAGTGTTTCTCTCCCTCCCTTTCTCCCTCCCTTCCTCTCTCTCTAAAAACAAATAAATAAATTTTTTAAAAACGTAGTATTCCAGATCAAAGAGATCATGTGTATGAAAACGGTAGCTTTCAGAAAAGGTCCCCAGCCGCCCGTCCCGTTGCGTGAGCGCCCCTAGCAGAGCCTGCCTCTCTGGAAGTTCTGGGCGCCCTGCCAGGACCGCCTTCTCCCCTGGCCTGACACCAGCTCCTCCCCCAGTAACAACCACAGTGGCCGAGATTTAGCACTTGCTGTGTGCCAGGTAGTGGGAAAAGGCTTCCCATGCATAAACTCTATTCATCTTTACAACAGCCCTGTGAAGTAGGCATTTTTATTATCCCCACTTTACAAATGAGAAACTGCAGTACGGAGAGTTTAAATATATTGCTCAAGGTCACACAGCTGGGAAATGGCATTTCTCCCAAAAAAGTCATTCCTGGATACCCCCTCTCCTGTGTGTCCCTTATATTTCCATAGATGCCTTGTAAAGACTTCTCCCCTGCCCTGAGGGCGCCATGTTTGTTACCCGCTACGCATCCGCTTCCCCTAACAGGGTGCTTGCTCCACCGTCTTACTCATACTTGTGTTTCCTGCACATGGTGGGTTCTCAGAAATGTTAGCTGAAAGCGGTAACTCACCCAGACACCCAGATGGTAGCCACACTGTGCTCCACTCCCAGAACACACCTTGCTCTTTCTTGTTCTTGTCTCAGCCTGTAATGAGTTTACTCTGATCCTTTTCCACCTGGTAGACTCCTATTCATCCCTCAAGGCCTAGCTCACCTGTCACTTTCTCTGTGAAGCTTTCCCCAGCTGTCCAGCCAGAGTCCACTGCTTTGTCCTCAGGGCTCCTCCGATCCCTGCTGACCCCTCAGCTAGAGCC